AAATAAAAGGAATCACAGCAAGTGCCGGCAGCTTTGAGCTCCCATGCCGTGGAGAAGCAACGGGTGATGGCAGCATTGTGCGTGGAGCGGAGTGCTGCCATTGCTGCTGCTTCTTCTGTCGGGACTGTGGGGGTTTGCGGCTCTGTGAGGCGTGACTGGCTGCCGCGTGGGACAATTGCGGCCTCCCGAGCACAGAAACACTATTCCCATAGGAACAAATTTCCCTCATAAAATCTTTTTTTTGTGCGTATTTTAAATTTATTTTCCTGCTTTCTACTTTCTCATCTCCCATCCCCTCTTTTTTGCTTTGGGGGCAATCACCATGGACCTCTTTTTTTTTTTTTTCCACTTTTTAAATTGTTTCATGCTGCACTCTTCCTGTGAGGGGTGCCGTGTGTTTCCCGCCCAACTGCTCCGCTCGCACACCCACCGACACGCTCATGACGACGGCCCTGTGCGCCTCGCCCGCTGCACGCATGAGGAGGGGCCGCGACGAACGACGCGCTGAGGGAGCCGTGACGTGTGGGCGTGCGACGAGGGCCGGTGGGGCGGAGCACACATTTCTTTCCTCTTGTTTTTTTGCGGCCAGGGCGGGCAGACACCCGCGGCGCCACACACACACAGCCACACGCTGCCGCCGTGTTCTTAAGATTTTTTGCTTTGCGTGTGCATTTCACGCGCCGGCATTTCTTTTGGTGTCGGCCTCGTGTGCATTTCTTTTCCCCCTGATGAGTTTTTTTTCTTTTGCTGCGCTCACTCTCCCGATGGAGAGACGCGACACCCGTCATGTCTGCGTGCTTCTCTCAGTCCCCATGCACACAAGAGCGACTGTGCTCTGCGGGCCGGACTCGCACGCCGATGAAAGGGCTGAGGGGAGCAGCAACACGCAGATGACCCCATGAAATATAAACGATGTGCGGACACACATGGAGGGTCAGATGGTTGAAAGGCATTTAAATATTTAATTTTGTTTTCGGAAAATATATGCAGACAATTTCTGGAGCAACATGGTAGTTAGGTGCACCTTTTTGTGTGGTTTTTTTTCTTTTTTATCATTTGGGTGTAGCTGTAATAGAGGACGACCTTTTTTTTTTTCTTTTTTTCTTTTTTCTTGTTTTCTTTTTTCAAAGTGTGAGGTGTGGAAGGGTGAAGATGAATTTTTTTAAAATTTTAATAAATTTTTTATGAATTGCCGCTGCTTTGTCTGCAGTGCAATATCATGAGTTTGAGCAGTCTTTTTCTCTTTATTTCTGCCATGCACCTCTGCTGTGCATTTTTTTGTTTGTGCGTCCCCTCACATGCTCCGCTCCTGTTTTTACTTCTTTGCTTCGTGTGTCTGCAGGCACACACAACGACACAGAATGCACATTGCAGTGGATTTGGATGCTTCTTTTGTAGCGTGTGCTGGCGGTTGCGGGTGGCTGCTGCTTCCTCCGTGGGCATGAAGGGAAGGAGGAGAGAGGGAGCGCGCACCGCGAGTCACTTTTCCTGCGGGTGTGATGCGCGCGGTGGGCTGCGACTGCTGTGGAGGGCCGCATCCTTTCGGTGTGCGCTTCTCCGCCGTTGTGCCGTGCTTTTGCGCATATCATTTGTTATGCGCGTGCGTGCTGGGCATGTTTTTCCGGGGCGTTGGGCGGCCACCATCTGTCTATGGCGGTTTGTGTGAGTGGGGACGTGCGGATGAGGGTCAGGGCGTATGGAATGAAGGAATGGCTTGGGGAAAGGGGAATTTAATTTGGAGGGTATTTGGACCAGATTCATTTGTCTGCGGTGGACACATGCACGACGGATGTGTTTTTGCATAATTGGGGGAGGATGCGACGGGGTTTTCCGAAGTGGCCCGTCAATGCAATTCGGGTTTCATAGCACTGGGGCACAGTGTTCTTCCTGCAATGGCTGGTGACGGCCTCTAGTGGACCGGTGTATTTATGCTGCTGCTGCTGCTCGAGGAGGTGTAGAAGTGCGATTTGAGGTGAGCGGCGGAAGGGCCACACATCCCGCAGTGACGGTCGTCGTTGGCCCACCGGGTGCCTCTGAAGGTTTTGTTGGATGAAACGTCCTTATGCCCGTCTCTGGATGGCGACATCCCTGATGCAGCCAACGAACGGGGCTGGGAGCGACGGTGAGACGCAAGCACGCGTGGATGTTCGGAGCGGCCGGCGCACCGCACGCTGAGAGCATGGCACGGTGAGGACCGGACCTAGAAAAGGGACACCGCGTGGGACGTCAGTCTTCACTGCAGCGACCGCCACCGAATTCGGATTTGGTCGCACCTTCTGCGGTCCCTCTTCCTTCCCTCACTTCTGTGCCGAGGACTGTGCCGCGGGATCCAGCAGCGTGATGTTTGGCCGCAGGAAAATGGCCCGAACAAATGATTTGTGGGAGGGGGATGTGCACTGCGACGAGAAGGAAAAAAAATAGTTGCGAGACGACCACCACCACACGACCGGAGTGAAGTTGCGTTTTGTCCACTTGCGCGAGGGCGGCCTGCCACCTGGTCGGTTAGGAGGATTATTTTTTTTTGCGTCGTTGAGCTCTCTTGTTATTCCGCTGCGTTTTCTTGCGGACCTGCGAAGGGAGATTTGCAAGAAATTCCTGCGAGGCGTCCGTGCCGTCGTCGGAAAAGCGGATTCCCCTTGAAAACCGCTACCCTTTAAATTTGTTTTGGGCGGGGGGTTCCTGTCGATTCAACGCGACTTTGTTTTGCGGATTTGATGCGTGTGTTTCCGAGCGGTTCGATCAGTGCTCCCAGCCCACTCGGATGTGGTGTGCGCGCCGACGTGAAGGTGCCTGTCAGCCGTTTTATTGCCTCCCCCGCTGTGGCTGCCGCCGCTGCCTTCCTCTCTTCCTGAGGTCCTGCGGCTTCTTGACAAGATGTTTTGGAGAAGGCGTTGCCGCTCTTATCGTCCATGGTATTTTGATTCTGGTGTCGCGGTCAGGAGACATTGAACGAGAAGGTTTTTGCTCTTTTGTTTTATTTATCCTCTCTGCCTGACGGCCAGTTCTACACAAACGTGCTCCCCGGCACCTCAGTTGGTGCTGGCGGGTTTGCTCACAGTTGTCACTGACAGTCGCATGCGCCAACTCTTCTCTGCTCCTTTTCAGTGTCGCATTTTTTTATTGATTGACGGACGCCATTCTGTCCGGCGTGTCACTTTGATTGGATTGTGTAGGACTGCTCGCCAACGCCATTGGAGAAAGCAGGCCGACTTTTTCAAGTATTTCAATTTCATCCTGCGCGCAGGTATCTTTTACTTGTTCAGTTGATGCGCACTCAAACAGCGAGGGATCCGGAACTATGCGTGCGTGGAATTTATCCTGCCATGTGAACTGCAGGCAACACCGCGGGGCTGTCACTTTTACTCCGCAGGGTGGTTGCGTCTCTTTGCAGGGTTGGCAGGGAGATTCCATGCGGCCTGCTACTGCTGGTGTGTCCTCAAATGTTGTCACCCCATGCGAATAATGTGCTTCATCGAGTGAGTGTGTTGATTGGGTTTGTGTGCACTCTGATTGTGTTTGCTACTTTGAGCGGGCACGCAATACTTGATGGGTGGGAAAATGGAGCGGGGCGATGCATGGCTGCGTCTTGCCTATCGTTCAGTGTACGATGGTGTGGTGCACATTGTGGTTTTGGCTCTCCGATGTGACTGCGGTCCCCTGCGCGGCAATGGTGGTGGGTGGAGGAGAGTGTGAGCCCGCGGCGGGACGGTGGGATCGCGCCTCCTTTTCTCTTTGTTTCTTCCCTTTTGTAAAGGTGTGCACTTATTTTTGGTGTCGGTGATAGTGCAAACAGACAGACAACGTGAACAAAATAAAAGTACGATAATGTGGCGGTGTTGTGGTAGATTGCACGTCGCGTTGCTGCGGGCGCGTTGGGCCTCGGCTGCTTCACCGACAGGCGTTGCAATGCGGCTGCATGGCGCACTGACCGCCCCGCCGTGCGAGTGCCACGCCCAACGCCATTGGGACTGCGGGACGAAACAGCCGCGACTGCTCTTTGGAGCCAGCGGCGCCTCGCCGTGGCTCGGGCGGTGGTTCCGACGCTTCAACTTGCAGAGGGGTTGAGGAAAGGCGGCGACCACAGTGGACTCCTGATTGCTGGCTGGAAAGAGAGCTGCTGGAGGCAAAGGAGCGCATCACCAAAATGAGACTGAATGATTTCCTTTGGAATTATTTTGACGGCAGGGGCGTTGTGGAATTCAATGCGAGGGTCTATTTGAAGGACGTTTTAAGTAGCCCCACGAAGTTCATCCACGAAGAGGTGTTATTGAGCACAATAAAGACATTGCGACCATAATACCAAGAGCTTAAAAAGGAGCGTGAGGATATGCACGTGCTATTGGAGGCTTTACATATGCTTGGAGACGAAAATATATTATCACTCTCAGGCAATGGAGTGACCTTGAATGAAAGGATACGGTCACTCCTCTTGCAAGGGCACGGATAACCACAGCCTGCTCCCATGTACTGAGAGGAAAGAGGCAGGAGGAGGAAGAAAGGGCAAGGCGAGAACGACAAGAACGGGGAATTGCCGTTTCCTCTGCGTACTGATGATGCGGTGTTTGAGGGAAGAGTCCGCGTGGATAAAATGAAGCTGAATGATTTTCTTACGATGGAATTGGGCGGCAGGGGCGTTGTGGACACCAATCGGAGTGTTTTGCTGGAGGAGCTTTTAAAGGACCCCACGAAGTATATCCACGATGCGGGAGTATTGGGTAAAATACAGACATCAAATCATTACAAGAGGATGGAGAGGGCTGTAAGGGATGAAATGGATATGGAAGAGGATGTAAGCAGGCTTTACAAAAATGGTGTGGACAATCTACTGAGGTGTTTGGTGGCTACTGCATTTTTTTGTTACTCGTGTGTTGGTTGCGTTGGCTTTATTTTATGCCGAAATGTACTTGTTTTTTTCTGTTGCGCCACTGAGCTCAATATGTAGTCCACACCGTGTGGATAAGTCTTTTTCTGCGTCTTCCAGTCATTTCTGTGCGTATTTTTTTTCTTCCTTATTCCCCTTTTGATTGTTAGTCAGTGTTCAGCTTTAACTCAATCCAACTAAGAAAACAAGGAGAACAATGTCTGGAAGGCCCGAGGAAGGACTTTACGATAATGAGGAAATTCAAGTGCCTACTGTCCCGCAGGGAGATATTCGGAGGAGAGCGAGGCTGGAGTCCAATAGTGGTACAGATCAACCCGCTGCGACTCGCAGAAGAGTGGAGGAGCGGCGACCACAGTGGACCATGAGCAGCAGAGTGGAGGATATTCTGCTGGAGGGAAGCGCTCCCAGGACCAACATGAAGCTGAACGATTTCCTTCGGAGCAACTTGGGCGATGAGTGGGTTGTAGACACCAATGAGAACGTCACGATGCAGGAGTTTTTTCAGGATCCCGAGACGTTTATCCAAGACAAAGGGTTATTACGCATAATAACGGCATTGTCGTCATACCAAGTGCTGGAGGCTATTAATAAGCTTCATCCCGAGCATGTGTTCTCTCTTGAGCAATGGAGGGACTATGAGGGAAAGGATACAGTCACTCCTCTTGCAAGGGGAAAACTAAACGCAGTTCTCACTCAGGTACAGAGAGAAAGCCGTGAGGCAGAAGAAAGGCTAAGACGTGAGGAAGAAGAAAGGCGAAGACGAGCGCAAGAAATGAAATTTACCATTTCCACTACGATCGAAGATGTACTGTTCAGAGGGGAATTTCGCTACAAGGAAATGAAGCTTAACGATTTTCTTCTGCTGAGATTTGGCAGAAGGGGCGTTGTGGCTACCAATCGGAGTGTTTTGCTGGAGGAGTTTTTTAAGGAACCCACGAAGTATATCCACGATGCGGGAGTACTGGGCGAAATACAGGCAACGGGTGCTTATGCGAGGATGGAGAAGATTGTAAAGGATGAAATGGTTTTTGATGAAGATATAAAGAAGCTCCACTATACTCATGTAAGTGCTCTGCTGGGGTGGCTAGTAGCTGCTCCGGAGGTAAAAGAAATTGTTCATCGCATCACTAAACAATCCTTGGATGCAGCCCTTGAAGACGTGAGAATCTCAATGAGGACGAGTGCAGCGATGAAACTGGAGGGAGTGTACGAGTCTGTGTACAATGCGAGGTGGAGCCATTTGGTGGAAGTTCCTGGCGGCGAGGGGACCGGACTGGAAGTGAGAGAGGGGAAGCCACCACAGCCATGGACGTACAGGGCAGTTGGCCGAACTCTCGAAAAGAATGATGCTGTGCAGCAATCCGGTGCAGCGCGTCTCAGGCTGATGGTGCTCACCTCGGACAAGGGGTGGCCGTGCACGTGGAATCGGAAGGGGGTGGAATTCACTCGTGACTGCTATGTGAACTGTGAGGTGGATCGAGTGTGGCAGATCGTCAAGGGCGATCTAACCAAGTGGTTTAGCAGTCACGGTAAGGCCGACTTTGAGCCTAAGCGGCGTGTGTTGATTGGGACGCCCGGGATCGGGAAGTCGATGGCTGCCGGCTCGTACCTCCTCTACCAGCTGCTGCACTACGATGCCAAGAAGCTCCCAATGGTTGTTTACTTTATTGCGGATCGAAAATTCCTGTTTGACAAGACCAGCAGGACGGTGTCGACATACATGGGCGACTCCAGTAATGAGTCTTTTGTGAGGAGTCTTTCTGACCGTGGGATGAAGGGGTATATTATTTACGATGTGGCAGAGCCGGATGATGAACCGTCTGGTGATTTGCCTCCCAGGGGATGGGGCATGGTTTTGGTGTCACCCCCACTCGAGGGGAACTACAAAGAATGGGTGAAGTGGAGCGATGCCACAACAATAGTTATGAATTGCCCTGGTGAAAGCGATGTGAAGGCGATGTGCGTTTGGATGAGGCGCCATCAGCCCGTGCGGGAGCAAGCGGAGTACTGGCATGTGGTGAAGGGCCAAATGGATGAAGTGGGACCTATTCCACGTTATATCTTTGACGAGCGAAAGTATTATAACTGGGTTCAACGGTGTCACAAGACCGTCGATGAGGCGACCTCTTCTGTAATCTTGCAATACAGTGGTTTGGGACGTGGTGGATCCTGGGATCATATGAAGGTGCTCTACTGGCTTGCGAGGGTTGTCCGAGTACGAGATGGAAAGTTTGGTTCTGAATTTTTTTTCAATTTACCGGTGTCTGCTCACCTCGGAAATAAAACATTATTCAAGTCGGCGAAGTTAATGCAGCAGCATTATTTTAATTTACTCATATCGGGGCTGACGGATTATCTCATATCAGAAAATTTTGGAAGGTGCACCGTGTTTGCATTTTTGAATGGATCTTTTGTGCGTGCAATAGAACGCAGGCTGAGGGAGCTGAGGCCATCACCACAACGTCAGTCCCACCGCTGTGCGCTGGCGGTGTACTCACAGAAGCGCTCCACCAGGCACCATGTCTTACCGCCACTGGAACACGTTTCTGAGAGGATTGATGTGGAGTGCGGGGTGCTGTACATACCGGAGGTGGAAAACTTTCCGCTGGTGGACGCCTTTTTCTTTGTGAAGTTAAATCCAATGACGCTGGTTGGGCTGCGGATGGCTACAGCGGGTGGGCATCACACCACCGCCAGCACTGCGAGGCAGTTCACTGAGTATCTGGCGGAATATTTTAATGGTTGGGACGAGTTGTCCCGAAAACTGTCGTGGGAGATTATTTATGTGCAGCACGCAGAAAGCACGCCGATGAACGACTGGCAGAGATGTGATGTCGTCGATGCCAATAATGTGAGCGACGATGAAAAAAGATTGCGGCGTTCTGGAACGAAAAGGTGCGCCAGTACCAAGTGTCCATATCATCCGAAGAACGCC